GAATCCTACGAACTTGACTTGGGAGGAACAGGTTACTACAGCAATCAATTCATGGAAAGGAAAGTCTCTTCTCACATTCATTCTAAAAATTGCTTGGTCTGCTTTTACTTATATTGTTTGGCAAGAAAGGAATCAGCGTATCTTCCAGAAACGATCAAGACATGCTGAAATTTTACTTACTGAAATCATTGATGTTGTTCGATTTAGTCTTAGGGGGAAAAACTTCAATAGACTTGATAGTACTAATCTAATCCTTTGTAATGCTTGGGGCTTATAGTTCTTCCAATCACAGTTTTTTGTATAGTTGTGCATATTGTTCTTTTGTTGTTTGGTTGATTGGATTGTACCAAAACTTTGCTATTTTGGATAATAAAATTTTTACTTATCCAAAAAACAATTTTTAGTCTGCTTAACTACAAAATGGGTTCGAGAGACGATCATGCGTAGGGAAGGATGAGTACCCCCACGACGTCCTAAAATCATTACCAAGTCGATTATATTGTCTTTGCAATGAAGTTTACAAGTCCAAATTTTATTTAATAAGAGATCCTTTTTTATATATGACCACACAAATTCTACTTTATTAATATTCGATAATGCCAAGAATAAAAGTTAGTATTTCTATATTTCCAATTCTTAGAGGAACATGTTTTGAGGTTTCGAATATGGAAACAACCCTTCATCATTTAAACAGAAATGTCAAAATACTAAAATTCTTCTAGAAATTTTCGAATAATTATTACCGCATATATTTGGAAAAAATTAAAGATATGTAAATATAATAGATGCAAATATAAACTTAATTGATAAATTACCAAGTTTTTAAAGGAGATAGAGAACATTCGGATATTTAAAAAGACGTAAAAAAAACCTTTGAAACAGAAACGACTTTTTCTTTATTAGTTTAAAGATACGAATATATCTCTTTTCCCTCGGTAGTGCCAATTTTTACGGATTATCAATTGTAGGTGATACTAAATAGGATGTCACTTTTATTCTATAACATCGGTTAGCCCTCGAACCATGAGACAACTCTTCGCAATAATATAGAATAAAAGGGCATTACCTTAATCAAATTATGAAATTTAAACCGAGCTATGCTTGTGAGATATCATACATTTAAATTAAATGATGTATGCAACTAGATCCCTATGTAACAACTAGATAAATTTATGAACACATTAAATTAATATCTATAATTACGAAACATGTGTATTATATACGAGTTATTATTATTTAATATGAAAACAATGGTTATAAGTTATAGTAGCATGTATATACATAAAGTATATTATAGTACACGCGAAAAATGATAAATTTAGAACATAATGAATAGTCGAGTGATCATTTTATAACTTTTATTAGTTGAGAGACTCAACAAACAACACCTTATAATCGGATGATCATTTTGTAATTTTTAATAGTCGAGGGTCTCAACAAAACAATATTCTATAGTCATGTACATTTTGTATAATTTTATAAGTTAGGCCAATATAAATATAATAAAAATTTATCTAAATAATTCATATATATTATTTTTATTTAAAAATATAATAACGATTATATATATATATATATATATATATATATATATTAAATTCAGAATATATATATATATATATATATATATATTAATTGGACCAATAATATAATCTTTTTAACATAATTCATACATATTCTTTATTTATGATAAACTACCTATTTGGTCATCCACCTATTAATTAATTTATATTTTGGTCATTTAATTATTTTTTTCAAAATCATACATAACCTTATATTTTGTTCTGTTTTGTTCACTCATTGTTAAAATAATAGCAATAATGTTAACGTGATATTTTTAATTATTTTTCAATCATAACTTGGAATTATTTTATGATGACACACCAACATCATTATTAATTTTTTTAAAGATGATTCACCAAAACAGAAACAAAACCTAACATTATGTGTTATTTAAAGTAAATAATTGTTTGGTGATCAAAACAGAAACTAAATAAAAAATGAGTGACTAAATAAGTAATTTATCCTTTTTTGCATTGGGTGGGTTATGGCCTAGGTAGGCCTAGGCCTAGATACGCCCCTGTTTATGAATTAATATTAGGTGAGAATCTTGACATATTTTATCTTTATCATCTAGAATATTAGGCTAAACCAATTTTGCATTGGATCCATCCTACGTACACCAATATGCTAAATATGGATGTACATAGAATTTTACTTTAGGCACATCCTTATAAAATTTTAGGAAAATATAAATTAATAAAATTTTAGGGGCGAAAATAGATTACTAATAGAAAATACAAAGAATGTATATAAAATATATAAGAATTTAAATTTTCAAAAAAACGACTGCTTCAATCTGCTCTTTTGGGTCAATCCCGAATGCCAAACCAATTTTTGATATTTACATATTCAATAATTAAATTCCAATATCAACCTCTTTATTTTTGCAGATAAAAGCTCCATTCACATCCACATTCGCTTAAAAACGTTGTTATAGGGCTAAACAGACGTCGCTATAAACATATTTTGCTGAATTGAATCGTGAAACCCTAGATGGAAAATGAATCATTTGGAGTTACACTCCTTTGAGCCCTAGAGAAATCTGAAAGCAGCAACATGGAAATATCAAAAACTTCCTTTTCCGGTTGTAGAACTTCATCATGCAGCAACAAGTGGTTTACTCGAAGATCATTCTAACTTACTCCTACTCCCCTTATACGACCAGTTCTTTACTCCAACAATATCAAAGCTGACGGACCTTACGTACAAAACAAGAAACGATACGGGAAAGGGGATCTCCTTGACGTAATTCGCTCTCCGGAGACTGATGAAACATAATTCATAACAAGTTGCACCCAGCTAGAATCAAACCTCATCTTGATCGCTTAATTTGTGAATTCAGTTGAAAACCGAGCAATTGAAGTGCTAAGGTATGTTATAATGTGATTCGATGTGCTAGTCTAATGTTTGATTATATTTGAGGACGACGACTTTGTTTTGATATGATATTATATTTTCATGATTTTATATGATAATCGAGATAAAAGTTTGTCCAAGAATATGTTGTTAGATATGTATTTGGACTTCGGTCTCAGTGAGAGAGAGATGCATATGAATTTTGTATTATATTGACACTTGACGAGGTAATAAATTCAAGTATCCATAAGCTACTAATAAAACAATTACCGAATTGCAAGATAAACAAATAAAACACACTATATTTGAAACAAAACCTGTTTTAACATTTAACTATGCAATTGAAGAATACAAAATGATTGGTAAGAGATGTCATGTCCTAAATAAGAAGAAGAAGAAGAAGAAGAAGAAAGAGAGGACACCATTCTTTTTGTCAGCCCTTTTTAACCAGAAAACCATTTCATTTCTTTACCATACCATTATTCTCTTAAACTCCCCCATCCTTTATCCTAGAGGTACCAAAGATACATCATCTCCTTTTAAAATTTTTCCCATTGATAATTTTTGCTTCTTAATCCTTGTTCTTTCTATAAAATGTATATGTTCGTGTATCAATATAATATAACAATTTCTCATGTTTTTATTCTCATTTGAGCATATGTTGCTGGTGAATATGTTTTTGAACCATTCCTTTTCTTTGTTTATGTTCTTGAAGTATAGGTTGTTGAGAAAGATGGGGATATTATGGTAGGTAGGTTTTGGTGTTACATATGCTCTCGAATGGTGATTCCAACGGTCGAGCAGGCGATCAAATGCCCTTTATGCGAGTCCGGATTTGTCGAAAGCATGAGACATTACTCAAGCACCAATGGCATTGATTCAGCATCAACGAACAATCATTCTGATTCCAATTCCAATCTTGCTTGGTATAATTAATGGTTTAGGCGCTTCGAGGTCGCGTATCACCGGCGAGGATGAAACCAATAATAACAACTCATCACAGAATGCAATGGATGATAAACTAGGAATCCATTTTGAAGCCCTTCTTATGAGAAGGAGGAGAAGAAGAAGTGGTTTGGCTCTTCATATGCTTGAGGATATGCCTAATGTAGTGGTCTCCGAACCCGAGAATCCCGAAAACGATGGAGAAAGGAGAGATAGAATGATTTTATCTGATCCATTCAACGATGGTGCTTTGATTGTCCACGCTTCATTTGGTGATTACTTAATGGGACATGGTTGGGATAATGGGACATGGTTGGGATCTTTTGCTGCAGTATTAGTCAGAGAATGAAATAAACTACCATGGAACCCCATCAGCACTGAAAGAAGCAATTGAAGAAATGCCGAATGTTACTGGCCTTATGAACGAAGTGGTGGACTCAGGACCGGAAGACGGTATCAGATCCCGATTCCATGGCCTTATGAACGTTTACTGGCCTTACCAGGTTCCGGAAATAGTTCTACTTCAGCTTAATCGTTGGAGGTCATGACAGGGAGTGAAAGTGCACCTCAGACGGAGGTTAATTGATTTTTTTAGATAAATTACTCATTTAGTACCTAATTTATCAATTTTAGTACTAAACTTTCAATCTTTTCAAAAGCATACTTAAAGTGTACTTTTTGTTTCATTTTAATACCTCGCCGTTAAAAACTTAACACATTTAATACCTAAACTATCAATTTTGATCTATTTTAATACCTAAATTTTGAAAAAATTTCAAAACTTAAGCATGTTTTAAGTACTAAACGTGTTTTGGTACCTAGACTTATATTTATTTATTTTCAAAACTTAACGGCGGAATAATAAAATGAAACAAAAATTAAACTTTAGGTATGATTTTGAAAAAACTGAAAGTCTAGGTACTAAAATTGATCAAACTGATAGTTTAGGTACTAAATACTTAGTTTATCCCTTCTTTTTTGTCACATGAGTAAGCGTCTCAGGCCTTTGCCTGAAATTTTCCTGCAATATACTTGCTGATGTTGTAACTTCGTTTTGTTCCAAAATGAAGAAAAAAATTAAATAGATTTCGCCTGCCTATACACTCTTGAAAGTTAATTATAATATAAAGGGTGAAGATGAAAATTATGTGTAAAAGAGAACAATGCTTGTATCCTCAAACATTACAAAATTTCAAGGTAATGGATTCTTGTCTAAAAAATGCAATATATATGAAAGGAGATGCTATATATATTTGTATAATTACAATGTAGAGTTGGTCCTGGACTTATGCATCTTATCATCCTGAGATGTTGGAGGCAACGAAGAGGACGAAAACGCAGCATGGTACGATGAAGAAGCAAGTTGAGCAAGGGCTGGAACAGCACCACCTGCAGATTTTTCCGATACCATCGCAATCGTTAGTCCAAACTCCAAGCAAACATAATTTGCTGAAACAAGATTTCATCAACTCTTATGACACAAGAAGTTTTATGATCTATCTTTTGAGACAATAATACAATACTAATATCAGAGTGCTATAAAAACAAACACATAGGTTTTAACTAACAACAAATTGTTTATAGCCAGTAAGGGCAGAAGAAGCAATCATGACTGATTGCCAACACTTCAACACTGGTTCGTTTGACTACCGAATTTAAATCGAACATGGGTCTTGAGTCCTAACAAATGGAGACTGCCAGTAGCAAGATGATAACGATGACAACGGGAAAAACGAAAAATGCTTTCCGCAAGGCGGATTTCAGGCAAAGAAGGTAAAAAGATTATCTGTTGACCAGAAGAGAAGTACCATGGAATTCCAATGAAAACTATAGAACATACCTTGGAGCACAGAATTGTCTAAGAACTATTCAACATCTAATAAATATCAATCCATTGGCTAGGCAATCTAATGACAAGAACAAGTGTATGTAATGATACCGGAGGACCTTGGGAAACACAAAAGACATATCAATAAGGGGCAAACAAAAAAGATGGTCATTAAAGAGATTTTCTAACCTGCCAATCCCGCACAAGCAGAGGAGAACACTATCACAGGTGGTGTCTACATGTAAATAAAGGATAATTATGTAAGTTATCCTTTTCATTGAGATGAAAATATAAGCAAAGGAGTATGAGGTGCAAATAGTTCAGCCTAATGGCATTTATGGATGAGGGGGCAGAATGTAAACCAATAGATTAGGCCTATGTATCTATGCCTTGTAAACCAACATAAAACCACACATTGATAAATCAAGAAAATTGGCATACAAAGAACTTACACCAACAAGGAAATGCATCCACATGGGTCCCTTTACATATTTCCTGACAACTGGCATAACTGCACGAAAAATATTAGTCAGAAAGACAAACTAAACTCTGTTCTTGACATGCGGGGCATCAAAAAATAACTTCTCTCCAGTCATTGAGTGTGTCAAAAAAGACATCAGAAAGCAAGAAATATGCATAGTAAATGCACAAATAGATCATAGAACTATGCCGGCATAATAAGTCTTTTGGCTCATATTTCAAAGGACGAATGAAACATTTTTCACAAGGCCTTGAATAGAATCGATAACACGGAATTTTAAGCACCAATGCGTCACAAAGTTTTACTCTCGGGAGCGGGCAGCATTAAAATTTAGATGCAATTTTGAAGTTAAACAAGGCATTGCCTTCATCTGAAAACCAATCATCAGCAGAAAACATTAAATGGCAAAAGACATATTTGAAATTGACTCTTCTGAAGCAACATTGGAAAATATTGTCCCATAAAGGAAAAGCCTTTCACAAAGAAAGGAATAAGTTTACAGAGAGCTTGCAGAAAGATAAGTCATTGAAGGAGCCATGATTATCATTAAAAAAAAAGCTTGAATTACAGCTTTATAATCAGATCAAGCCAACTGAACTACATCTAATTGGTGAAAAAAAAAAGAAACAGATCCATATACCATGGTTGAAGCCGTAAAACGCGCTCGTAGTGCCACCAACAGCAGAGCCGATCTAAAATAACAACCATAAACGCACAAACTAAGACACCCTCAAAAAACTAAGAACACTGTCATATTGGAAACCTGCCCCATTAAACTGGGGGGAAAGCATCCAATTTTCCGGGGGGGGGGGGGGAAAGGTTAGTAAATAACACAAACAAATAAATCCCAAATCCCAACATCGAAAGAAAAAGGTTTTACCATAGAAAAACTATCCCTCACAAGTGGAGCAACAGTCCATTCACTTGTGTCCTGCATCATTGAACCCAAAAAAATTAAAATTTCAAAAGAAAAATAAAGAAGATGTATGTAAAAGATTATACCATCTCTTTGGCAAGAGGGCCAGCGCAGTGAGGGCAACGCAAATTGCTTCCAGGGTTTGAATTTTTCATTGCTTCTTTCTTTTTCTTTTTCCCTTAAAAATTAAAGCTTCTTTCAGTGTGGGAGATCAAATCCAAAAACCCATGTACAAGCTTCCCTGAAAACTGAGGGGTTTTAGGGAAAGGGAGTACTCGTTCAACATGAAGGGTCAGAGCTTTATGGTGGAGTGATATTGGGTCAACGCCACGTTGTGTGTGAAGCTGCCATTGCCGTGTGAGAAAAGGGCCCAAAGCAATGATCTTAGTTGTTTGTTTGGGCGGTGAGGTCCCAGATCTGCAATTAATTTTCTATGGGCTATATTTGGGCTTCAAGCCTTTAGATTCTGGAATATTCCAAACGTTATGTTTTTTAATTTTATTTTATTCATCCGTCGTTAAAAAATTAACATAACTACTGACATGGTACTTTTTAAAATTTTCTCAATAATGATGTTACAGACACATCTACAACATTATTAATTCTTTAACAGTGGGTGACCAAAATGAAACCAAACATAACACAGGGCATGCTTTTGAAATAAAAAATAGTTGGGTGACCCAAACAAAATAAAAGTGATTCTTGAAGTACTAGACTTGTAGTTTACCTGAAATCGTAACCAAATCATCATCCCAAGAAAAATTGTTTCAAAAGTGTTTATTCGGAACATTTATTTTTCACTTATATAAAATACTATTTGCCAGCTAGATTTAATAACTGGACGTTCTGGATAACTAATTGTAGCATCCTTCTAATGCAGGTGGCAGCTGCGCTGGGCTTACTCATTTGCTGGTTTCACTTAAAGAACTTTTGGGTCGTCTCCTTTTAACCATTTATCCCCTATATCCCCCAAAGCTCTGCCTCCAGCAATTTACATACATCGATACTCCTCGTATAACCCAATTGCCAATACCCTATATATGCTATCTCAGATCCCCCTCTTGCAGGCTACTTCTTCACTAGTAGGAGAGCATCGTGACCCATTAGTATTCGCTTTGCACCAGGCCAATATCGGTAGCTGCCACCTCACTAGCCTTCGGTCGTGTATTCGGCTACTTGCGTGTTGTCCATCGACGATCGTTTCCATCCCTCTCACTTTTTGTGTTAATCTTCTCCTCCTTACCAAGATCGATTCTCTTTCAGTTAGGTTGAGGTTGAAGATGATCACATTACGCCTTCCCCACAATGAACACACAACTACACCAAACAAGATATCCCAATCCGCATTCTCTCTAGTGAAATATTGTGTTCATTAGATTTAATTCCACCCATTGCCATATGTCACAACTGAATAATTCCTCTAACCTACTATTTCCAAGTCGAGAAAGTTAAAAGGCAAGTTCAAATTACATGACTAGCATCTTCCACTTTCGCACCATTTTGTCAACAACTTGTATCGGTCGGCATGTGACGACGCACTCGTTCAAGATTCGTAAGGATTCACTCGATGTACACTAGTCGAAGGAATGTCTTGACTCTCGGTAAACCATGATATTTCGCAACCCCAACCCACACTCCTTCGATAACATCTGGTTGAACGCATGTATTGCAAAGCAATCCCATGCCATTCACCCCCTCGTCATTCCAGAATTCTACTTTACTACCATTCCCAATATTCTATGAAATTCCATAACAAATTTCGTCTCATACCGTACTAAAGCCCTTCCAAAGTGATCTTACTAGTAAGTGATCTTAAGTGTTAACATGACTCTTTAATAATTATTTGCAATGTTATAAGTTCAAATGGGAGTTGATTATAACCTGAATTAACTTAGTTAATTTTAAGATATTAAAATTTATTAATTTATGATTATTTACATTTAATTTCTTAAACTTTTATAAATATGTTGATGTGATTCTTTATCGTGTTTGAAATTTGATAATATGTATGATTTATGAATGATAAGGTTTGATTTAAGTTCCGGTGATTTCTGTCCAAACCAGTTTGAAGGTGTTCCATAATCTATGTTGCTTGAATAATTTCCTTTCTGGAAAACAACTTAATTTATTATAAAAATAAGAAAATAGTCAAAAAGACAAATCAAATTAATTCGATCAATCGGATTGAATATAAAAAAAAAATTGAGACGTTACATTTAATATGGTTCTATCAGATGTAAACTATGAACACTAAATATTTTAACACATACATAATTTCTACTTAATTCAATTATATATGATTATCTGTACGCTATATAACAAATATTATTAAAAAAATTATAAGAACATACATATCAAATATTAAATCTACTATGATGCAAAATTAAATGTTCATATAATTTCCTTTTAAATAATGTTAAGATCAACATATTTTTCTAATTATATTTCTTATTCACTGTTTTTCTTTAAATAAACTTCGTGGCGGCGAACCATATTTTCATCGATTAGCTATTTATTTTATTGATAGTGTTTACTTTAAATTTTATTTGTGCTTATCTTGCTTAAAATTTTTGTGTTGTTAATATATATGTGTCCACCTTCAATGATACAATGAGAAAATGAAGAAATAAAAAAAAAATGAGAAAATGAAGGGGAAAAAAGAAAAAAATAGTATTTTTTAGATTAAAACAATGTTGTTTGACTCGAATTTAAAATGATACAATTTAAATGAAAAACTAATAAACCTAGTTTGATTAAAAATATATATTTTTATTAAAGTAGATTTATTATTTTATTTAGTTTCCTTTCTAATCAAATATATATGGGTAACTAAAAAGACTTTAAAATTCTCCATCTTTCATCATACTTCCTACTTCTTTTAATTATATGTATATGGAATAATATGCTAGTTCTAACTCTTTGCATATTGTAATGTAGAGTGCTTAAGGATTGAAGATTCAAAAGTTCTTGAAATGGACAGTTCCGAGACATAGAAATCTTCCTAGATTTAAATTTGTTGAAGGAGAATTTAAACCTGAAGCTTTAAACTACAACTCTTTCAGTTAGAAGCAATTGGTTGTTCGATAAATTTTGATAAAAGAAAGAGGTGAATTTAGCTAGCATCTTTCCTAAGTTGCGGATTCTATCTACTTCAGGCCATGCCTCTGTGGTGTCTATGAACATATTCGTTGCACTTCTTTGCGCTTGCATTGTTATTGGCCATCTTTTGGAGGAGAATCGATGGATGAACGAGTCGATTACTGCCCTCGTCATTGTGAGTTTCTCTCTCGATATCTATCGGCCTGGATTTAGCCATTCATGGACAATTCAGCTTAGTTTTGATTTCTTGGCTTACAAGCTTCGGTTGTCTGATATGCAACATGGAGATGGTTTATTATAGCTTATGAAAGGTAAAATAGATGGATATGCAATATTTGTCCAATGTAAAACTTTATTTCCTTTACACACTTCTTCACTTATTCTCTATTCTGAATTGAACTTGAGTACATGGAGTATTTCCCAATGCTTCAATATTGTGAACCAGAGGAACATTGATGTCTTTTTTATGATATTAAGGTTTGACTGGATCTAGTTAATTATTTGCTTTCTGTATGCCCTTCAGCAATTGCTGCAGTGTTTTCTGCAACAGATTCTGTTTGTACCCTACAGGTATGCATAAATTAGAATTGTGGTAGCTTTTATCTAGACTGAAACTAGAGTAGTATACCAAACTTGCTAAAATTGAGCTGTTTTTTATGGTGCAGGTGCTTAGTCAGGATGAGACTCCATTGCTCTACAGTCTGGTTTTCGGAGAGAGTGTTGTAAATGATGCAACATCTGTGGTTCTTTTCAATGCGATCCAGAGTTTTTCGGCAACTTTTTGTATTTATTTTTAGCAAGCACTGTGCTGGGAGTGGTTGTAACTTGTAAGTATAGTTTCATTCTGTGAACACAGGACTTATTAGCGTTTGATTTCAACATGATTCAGGCACTCAACAGATTACGAGTTTGCTCTTAAGATGCTTATGGCTTACCTTTCATATATCATGGCTGAAGTAAGACTGGCAGTTTCCTATAACTCTTACTTTTCCGATACGAAGTTCCGAATTCGATGATTAACATGCTTATAATGTTGCTTCCCCTGCAGCTGTTCTATTTGAGCGGCATTCTCACTGTATTTTATCTCCTTTATATAGCCCTGGAACGTCAGTTTCTGTTAGTGCTGTTCTTCTGGGTCTCGTTATGGCCGGAAGAGCAGCGTTCGTGTTGCCCCTCTCGTTTTTATCCAACTTGGCGAAGAAATCGGCTAGTAAAAAGAACAGCTTCAGGGAACAGGTATGTGTTCTTGATGTTTAACCTTTTGCTTCCAAATCAGTTGATGTTGTTATTTGACATTACTATTTGTGTGTATTTCTTTGTTTTAGATTATAATATGGCGGGCTGGTCTCATGAGAGATGTTGTATCAATGGCACTCGCATATAATCAGGTAATGGCGTAACAATCTTATGGATAAAGTACACAAATAGTCTCCTAACTATACGGTATTACTTTGTTGAGTCCCCAGATTATTAAAAGTTACAAAATGATCTCTCTACTATTACACGTTGCTTTGTTGAGTCTCTTGACCATTAAAAGTTATAAAATGACCACCCGACTATTCATTATATTCTAAATCTATCCTTTTCCGTTAAAAAATTAACGACAATTTGAGTTAGATGTTAATTTACCGTCTGAGATATGATAAAATTTGATCTCACAATCTCAAACGATTATCATATCTCAGTCAGCATGTTAACGTCCAGCTCAGATGACCGTTAATTTTTTAACAGAAAATGACAAGTTTGGAACATAATGAATAGTCGAGTGATAATTCTGTAACTTTAAATAGTCGATGGACTCAACAAAGTAACTCCCTGTAGTCAGGAGACCATTTTGTAACTTTTAATAGTCGAGGGATTAAACAAAATAATATCATATAGTTGGGGAGCATTTGTATACTTTACCCTAATCCTATTTCATTTAAAAAGAGAAGCCTTGTTATACAAGTCATTGATTTAATGAAATATAAATGCAGTTTACAAGTGCAGGTCATACACAATTCCGAGGGAATGCGATTATGATTCGAGCACCATATCCGTTGTTCTATTCAGCACTTGGTATGATATCTCTGAGACTAATGAAAGAAAATATAAGTATATAAATTATATTATTTTCTCCCTTTTAAGTATTTAAAATATTTTTCTATTTATGTAGGTGTTTAATTTTTTCAATGTTACAATTTTAAGTGT